GGTTCATCAACAACAAGATCAATGAATTATAGTAAATAAAAGTCAAAGAAGGAAATGATCAAGAGAAATATTACTGTAAACGGAGCTTAGAGTAGGCTTATTTTTTTTTCCCAACTACTAAGAGCAACATGTAGTCCTGGAATATTTTGCCTAAAACTACTGTCCTGCTGTCTCATCAAACACCATGTTTTTCTCTCATATGTGGAACCTAAGGGTAAATTCTCCTCTCTCTCTCTCTCTCTCTCTCTCTCTCTCTCTTTCTCTCTCTCTATCTCTCTGTGTGTGTGTGTGTGTGTTTAAATATCTATAAGTCATGAACTGGAAAGGGGGTCATCAGAGGAGAGAGAAAAGGTTTTTAAAGGAAGTGGGAATAAAAGAGGTAAAGAAATACATGTAATAAGAAAACGTAAGTTGGGTAAGAGAGTTGGTTCAACCGATAAAAGGGCTTGCCACCAATTCTAAGGACCTGAGTGCAAACCCCAGGACCCACACACAGGATAAATGATTCCACCGTTTGTTCGCTGACCTCCACAGATGAACTGTGGCACACATGTACACAGTGAAAGAAGAGAGAGAAGTCCAGAGAAACTGGAAGAACCCGGGAGGGTTCAGGACAGACAGAGGGGCTAGAGATGAGTGAGAACATTTTATAATGACATGTGGATGAAGATGGCATGATGAGGTCCATTGCATTGTATACCTTAAAAAGTTAGATTTAAAACACTGTTTCTTAAACAATAGGCATCATTATGTAAGCAAGACAGCCTTCACTGCATGATATAAGTAAATCTCCATCTGAGCAGATTAGTAGATGTATATTAATGACATGTTAAATTGCTGGCAACAGCCTCAAAATATACCAGCAGTTCAGATTGATAAAGTTGATTGCTTTAAAATAAAGGTTATGTTCATGTTTTTTTTCCCCTCTTTCTAAGAGCATACAGGCTGTACCCAGTCATGGTAACAACTTAAAGCACGGGTGAGTTAAAGCATCTTTTTGCGTGTGCTCTTGTGTGCATGCCTGTGGGGAGGTCAAAGAGCCACCTCCAAGTGTCTTCCTGAATTCTGCTCCACCTCCCACCAGACTGAGAGCTCACTAGTTAGCCTAGAAGGGTTTTCTGGCTGGACAGAAAACCCCCCGTCTCTACCTGCAAGCCTGGCAGTCAGTGACACTTGCCTGGTTTTTAATGTGGATTCCAATTCAAGTGCTCATGCGTGAGTGGCAGACATTTGACACCTTCTCCAAATCCAAAGCACCCTTCAGTTCTTACGCACCTGAGAAGCTCTAACTGAAAAACCCAAACATACTGGAAATTTGTCCAAGAATATATATTTACACTCCAAATAGAACCAGCTGCTGTGTCGTCTTTGAAGCTGAGCTATGCCCAAACCACCAAATCTGAAGAAAGGCCCAGGCATGGTAAATGTGTAAACATTTAATCCACTAATTGGGGCAAAGCTGCCTGCAGGTTGTCTACAGCCTGTTCCCCATCCTCTGAAGCTCAGCATGCAGGCTTGCTCCCTGCATGAGGACCTGCAGTCACAACCTGTCGAGGCTCAGCTGGGAATGGAATCTCTCCTACACTCACTCTTTCCTCCTTGAAGGCACACTTGTTCGGTAGCCTGTGAAGTAAGTCATTGGAAAATGTTTTATTATTGTTAGCAAAACAAAAATGCTTATTTCTTTTCTATTGATGGGGGTGGGGCAGAAGCATGGCTGCATCAAGCAGTACTGATTTAGTAGCTCACAGAGACAGGCTGGAAGTTGTGCCCAAGGCCAAGTTCTGTATTCAGGCTGATCAATAGCTTCTCCAGAGACGTCTGCTATGTGTGCTGATTGAGATCTATAATACAAGCACTTGTGGTATGAAGGCAAGTGATGAGAAAGTCAAGGCCATACTCAGATATCTGGGGAGTTTGAGGATAGCCTGGGCTACATGAGTCTCTTCCTCAAAAACAAAGTAAAAAATAAATAATAGCTTATTGACTTGTGTGTGTTTGGGAACTGTCTTAGTCACAGTTTTATTTGCTGTGATGAAACACCATGACCATGGCAACTCTTGTGAGGGAAAACATCCAACTGTGGCTAGATTACAGTTTCAGTGGTTTATTCCATTATCATCGTGGCTGGAAGCAAGGCAGCATCCAGATAGACATGGTGGAAGAGGAGGAGCTTCCTCTTGATCCACGGGAAATGGAAGGAAACTGTGTCCCACACTGGGCATAGCTTAAGCATATATGAGACCTCAAAGCCCATCTCCACAGTGACACAGTTCCTCCAACAAAGCAGCACCTCCTAATAATGCCTAATTGTTGTTCATGTAGCTCTTGCTGTCCTGGAACTTACTATGAAGACAGGCTGTTCTCAAACTCAGAGGCAGATGCCTTTGCCTCTCAGAATTAAAAGCACCCCCACAACACCTCCGGACAATTCAAAGCAATTTATTTCACAAATGTTATAAACAAGGAAATCTGTGTGGTACACTACATATTAGAATTTCTTTTTCAAATTCTAAGTAGGAGCTGGCTATAATGTAGTTAGTAAAATATTTGACCAGCATCTATAAAGCCCCGAGTTCCATCCCTTGAACTGTATCAAACTGCACATGGTGGACACGCCTGTAACCGCAGCACTTGAGAGGTGAAAGCAGGAGGACCAAAAGTTATTCTTGGCTAACAGTGAGTTTATGGCCAGGGTGTGGGACACAACATCCTGGGCTTTTGTTGCTGTTAGCAGTCATGGAGGTTTTGGTTTGTTTTTTTATTCTTATTGTTATTGTTTTGTTTTTCAAGACAGGGTTTCTCTGTGTGGCCCTGGATGTCCTGAAACTTACTGTATAGACCAGACTGGCCGTAAGCTCAGATATCCACCTGCCTCTGCCTCCGCCTCTGCCTCTGCCTCTGCCTCTGCCTCTGCCTCTGCCTCCCAGAATCCTGTATATATACTGTGAAATATATATATTCACAGTATAAAGAAAATTTTTACAAGAGTATTATGTATACATATAATCAATATAGATAAAATAACTTGCAAGAAAAAAGTCTCTTTCTTGATGATTATCATCACATCTTTGGAAAGCAATAACTAGAAGCCCTGCTTTTTCACTTTGAACAGTAAAGTTCTGCAAAGGTTGCTTTATCCATTAAATTGTGAAAATTATTAGTCTAGGGATGTAGCTCAGTGGCAGAGCAACTACCTACCATAAGAGAAGGCCTGGTTTGATGCTGAACAGAGAAGAGGTGGAGAGAGAGACAGAGACAGAGGCAGAGAGGCAAGATCTTACTTCACATCTCTGTGATAGCAGCGGCACCTAGTGGTCTATGTTAGCTTAACTTTTTAAGATATTTACTTAACTTTCAAATGATAGAACTTTCACAACAGATCAAAATACAGAGTTGTAGAGCCCAGTGCCAAGGGGATACAATCCTGCAATGGGATCACTGCAGAAGAGGAGCAAGGAAGGCTGTAGGAGACAGAGGATCAGAGAATCTTAGAATTACCTTGCATTACTAAAATAGTTGTGGTGGCTCATGACTTCCAGTCCAGCATTCAGGACATGGAAACAGGAAGTTCAGGAGTGCCTAGCAATTTGGATTTTAGTTAATTCCACATGTAATCAAGTTGAAAAGCCAAGAATAGCCGCTGTAGCCTCCATGAAGTAAACCCACAGAAGTTTGAACATCCAGGTGTGCACAAAGCAAGTGGTATTTGAGAATTAAACATCAAAACTGACCAAATAAAGCCATGGCAGAACAGGGCCACCAAGCAATTGCAGTCAAAGGAAAAGTTGTAAACCTCTATAATTTGTGTTTATGGAAAAAGAATATTATGGCAATCCCATATTTCTAAACAAGCCCCAGATAAGACAAGTGGATAGTAGAACTTACTCTATTTATATACAGTATTGATGATAAAATGGCAGAAGGCAAGTGGATAGTACAACTTACTGTATTCATATATAGTACTGACAACGAAATTGCAGAAAGCATATTGGGGACTTCCACTCCACAGAGATCAGAATGACTTAACAAACTATCCATCCTGGCTAGGGAGTGACTCTAACAAGTCTCGAGCAAAATTCCTCAGAAGTTTGTCTTTCCTCTTCGGTGACCTCATTTGACTCTCTCATACTGGCTTAACTCCAAGATGTGGGAGACACACAACACAATCTTTTGAAATTCCTGTAACTCTAATTAAAAGTCTTGCCCAGTAAAAGAAAGAAAGACACGAATTCATACTTTGAAGGCTTAGGAGAGCAGCTTGCTCTTAGAGCATGCATTCAGCATGTGTAAAGCCTGTGAAACACATCATATTTTCTGTTTCTCTGAAACGTGTAGAGACAGGACCCTCTAGAGTCCAGGAGAAGTGTGCTTCAGAAGGGAAAGGTTAACAGCATATCAATTCTGAACTTGTCTGGAGACACGGAAGGTGTCTGGCCAAGACTGGCTAAAGAGAGAACCTCTCAAGTGATAAATACGATTCTATCAATGAAGGGCTCTAGGCAGCCCAAGCATAGCAAGCAGGGCACCAACAGGTTGTGCCCTTCACCCTTGTCTCTCTCTCTTCCCAACCATTAGATTACATTCCTAAAGCTGATCCCCAAGGTCTACTCCGTTATTCCCTAATTTGGCGGCTGACTCATTCCTGAGACAAAACACCCGGGTCCAACAATCAAATTTTATTATTTGGCTCACATGTCCAATCATGACTTAACAATTCACTCTTGCATGGACTTCCTTTTTGTTCTCTTTAAAAACCCACTCAAAAAAAAAAAAAAAAAAAAAAAAACACTTGCTACTGCTACTTCTTGTGAGAGACCAAAAGAATTAAGAACTAGGCGGCCGCCGCGGCTGGTGTGGGGTTGAGTCAGTTGTGGCACCCGGAGCTGCTGACCCGATGGGAGGCTCTCGGAACCCGCGGCCCGGTAGCAGGCGCGGAGCTCCGGGAGTCGTGAGCCTGGCCCCCGTCCTAGAGCGGCACAGAGCCGGCGTCACCACCGCCGCTGTCTCCGATGGCGTCCGCCTCCGGGGCCATGGCGAAGCACGAGCAGATCCTGGTCCTCGACCCGCCCTCAGACCTCAAATTCAAAGGCCCCTTCACAGATGTAGTCACTACAAATCTTAAACAGCAAAATCCATCGGATAGAAAAGTATGTTTCAAAGTGAAGACTACAGCACCTCGCCGGTACTGTGTGAGGCCCAACAGTGGAATTATTGACCCGGGGTCAACTGTGACTGTTTCAGTAATGCTACAGCCCTTTGATTATGATCCGAATGAAAAGAGTAAACATAAGTTCATGGTACAGACAATTTTTGCTCCACCAAACATTTCAGATATGGAAGCTGTGTGGGAAGAAGCAAAACCTGATGAATTAATGGATTTTAAATTGAGATGTGTATTTGAAATGCCGAATGAAAATGATAAACTGAATGATATGGAACCTAGCAAAGCTGTTCCACTGAATGCATCCAAACAAGATGGATCCCTGCCAAAACCACACAGTGTTTCACTCAATGATACAGAGACAAGAAAACTGATGGAAGAGTGCAAGAGACTTCAGGGGGAAATGATGAAGCTATCAGAAGAAAACTGACACCTGAAAGACGAAGGCTTAAGGCTCAGAAAGGTAGCACATTCGGACAAACCAGGATCCACCTCAGCTGCATCCTTCAGAGATAATGTCACCAGCCCTCTTCCTTCTCTTCTGGTTGTAATCACAGCCATTTTCATTGGATTCTTTCTAGGGAAATTCATCTTGTAGAGTGAAGCATGCAGAATGCTATTTCTTTTTTTTTTTTTTCTCTCAACCAGAAAAAGATTTGTTTACCTACCATTTCATTGGTAGTATGGCCTGGGGTGACCATTTTTTTTGTGTGTACAGCATCATATAGGCTTTGCCTTTAATGATCTCTTACGGTTAGAAAACACAATAAAACAAACTGTTCGGCTACTGGACAAATTGTATATTGTCAGATCATCACTAGCAGATGTCAGTTGCACATTCAGTCCTTTATGAAATTCATAAATAAAGAATTGTTCTTTCGTTGTGGTTTAAAAAAGAAAAAAGAATTAAGAACTAGGTTTTTGGGGTACTGAGCTAAAAAGTTTAAAACCTGTCAGGCCAGTTAACCTTGCTGCTTCTAGGCAGATCCAGCCCATTGCAGGGAAGAGCTGACTTTGCTGCTCATGAGAGGTTCTGCTGCTAGGAAACCAACCCTGATGGCCTTGCTCCTGTCGATAATCACCCTGTCTCCCCTAGCAGCAGTCTAGCAGTCCAGGACAAGACTGAAACCCAAAGCCAGCACATGGCAAGACGGAAGCCCAAGGTCAACCATTTCCCCTCACACACACCCCTCCCCACCACCGGCAAAAGAGAACAAAGAAAGCCGAAACCTTTTTTGGTCCTGGCACTTTCCCATAGCAAAAAGTTTATGAAATGTAGCACCCCCCTTTTCTGTATTAACCAATCTAAGCTTGCCAGGCTAGACTCTCCTCTTTTGGGTGTACAGGGAAGGACTGGGACCTATAAATAGCCCACAATCCAGATCTCGGGGCTCTCAGTTGGATGCCAATGCCTTGGTGTCTATGAGAGTGCAGCTCGAGCTATAAATAAAGATCCTCATGTGTTCTACTCCTGGTGGTCTTTTGGTGATCTCACAAATTGGACATAACATCTTGGGGGCTCATCTGGGATCCCCAAGACACACCCCTCCCAGGAACCACCACCACCTACCTGCAAGCCGGAGGATCAAAATCCCAGGTAAGCATGTTTGCCTTGGCCAAATTCTGTCTTTGTTCTGCTATCCTGTGTCTCTGTTCTGATATTCTGGGTCTGAGATCTCAAGGTGTTGGCATTGGTGGCCAAAAAGCAGCCATATCAGTAGGACTCTGGCTGATGAGCTGGAAGGCCATGGTCATGGGGATCTGGGAGACATCCCAGGTCCTGGTGAGAACAGAGAGCTTCACAAGTGGGACAGTAGGTCCCAAGTCTGTTTGCTAGACCTAGAAGAAAGTGAGTCGCTCCCACGGAGACAGAAAGTGCTGCCAAAACACTGGTTTGGGTTCTTACCCACTCGACTTGCAGAATGTGTTGTTTGGCTTTGTGTTTGTCTGTCTTGCTGTCTGCAATAACTGTTCTCATTTATTTGGATGAGACTCGGATGACATACAATATGGGACAGACTCCTTCCATTCTTGGACTTACTCCTCGCCCACTTCAGAGAAGTTAGGGCCAGGGAGGGAACCTTTCTCTTTCTCTTAACAGAAACAAATTCACCACCTTTTCCAGCTCTGAATGGCCCACCTTCAAAATTGGATGGACATGAGAGAGGTCTTGGAAGTGATCTAACAGCCAAATCAATGATCCTCAAACCCCTCACCCAGGCCACCCAGACCAGTTTCCTTACATCATGGTCTGGGAACACCTGGTGCTTAACAACCCCCCCCCCATATGGCTCAAGTCTTTCAAACCTTTTCTCCATACTAACCCAATTTATTTAGGTCCAGAAGCCAATACGGTGTTAACTATGGCAGAGCAAAGCAGCCAGAGCTGCTTTTTTGGAAGAACAGCACCCCAAGTTACTCTCTTGCAGTATGTAGATGATCTGCTGATAGCTGCTGCTGACAAGGAGACTTCCCTACAGGAGCAAAGGACTTACTCAACACTCTGGGAGAACTTGACTATCAAGCCTCGGCTAAGAAGGCCCAAATATGCAGGTCAGAAGTGCAATACCTAGGCTACATCCGAAAGGAGAGTAAAAGATGGTTGTCAGACTAAGATCAGAAAGGAGAGGAGAACCTCCCCTATCAGTGGACTTGGGGAGGGGTATGCACGCAGAAATGGGAGGGAGGGTGGGATCGGGAGGGGAAGAAGGAGGGGCTTATGGGGGGATACAAAATGAATAAAGTGTAATTAATAAAAAATAAATAAAAAGTTAAAAAATAAAAAAAAAAGATGGTTGTCAGATGCCCGCAAGGAAACAGTCCTCAAGATCCTGACCTCCATGAGTCAGAAACACGTATGGGAATTATTGGGGTCAGCTGGATTCTGTAGGCTCTGGATACCACATTTCACAGAGCTTGCTAAGCCACTTTATGAGGCCACCAAAGAACAGTCAGGTGACTTCTCATGGACAGCTGAGCATCAGCAGGCCTTTGAGACCAGAAAAGGGACATTGCGGTCAGCCCCAGCCCTTGGGTTGCCTGATGTTACCAAACCATTCCAACTGTTTATAGATGAGAAAAAAAGGAATAGCAAAGGGGTCCTCACTCAGACGCTTGTGCCATGGAGGAGAACAATAGCCTACTTTATCCAAGAAGCTAGACTCAGTGGCAGCCAGATGGCCCCCATGCCTCCGCATCATTGCTTCAGTAGTATTACTGGTCAAGGATGCTAACAACTTAAATCTAGGGAAGGACTTAGTTATAACCCTGACCCATTATCAAGCACTGCTGCTGAATCCTCCTAGAGTCACTTTTCAGGTGCTGACTTCCTTGAATCCAGCCACTCTGTTGCCAGACCCAGATCTGGATGCCTCCTGTATGACTGCCCTGAGATCTTAGCCCATGTGCATGGAATCCAAGCTGATCTCCAGGATGTCCCCTGACCAATGCACACAAGACCTGGTTCACTTTGGGAGCAGCCTCGTCAGGGGTGGAAAAATGTATGTGGGGGTGGTAGTGACGTCACTGACTGAGAGTACGTCACTGACTGAAAGGCAGAGCCCTTCCTCTTGGGACTTCAGCCCAGAAAGCCCAGCTTACAGCACTGACTAAGGCATTAACTCTGAGAAAAGATCTAAGTCTTTTTTTTTTTTTGTATTTTATTTTTTTCTTATCAGTTACATTTTATTAACTCTGTACCCCAGCCGTGTCCCGATCCCTCATTCCCTCCCAGTCCCTCCCTCCCTCCCTCCTCTCCACCGTGCCCCTTGCCAAGTCCACTGATAGGGGAGGACCTCCTCCCCATTCATCTGATCCTGTTTTATCAGGTATCTTCAGGACTGGCTGCAAAGCTCTCCTCTGTGGCCTAACAGGACTGCTCCTCCCTTGGGGGGTGGGGAGGCCAAAGAGCCAGTCACTATGGGAAACCAATTGGTTACTGAGCTACCACAGGCTACATCTGAGCAGAGGTTCTAGGTTACATTCATACATGGTCCTTGATTGCATGTCAGTCTCAGAAAAGACCCTGTGCCCAGATATCTTTGGTCCTTGTGGAGCTCCTATCCTTTCCTCATCAGACTAACTCCCCTTCTTTCTTATGATTCCCTGTACTTTGCCAAAGGTTTGGTCATGAGTCTTTGCTTTGAAAACACTGCTAGTTAGAGTCTTTCCAATGCGCTCAGTAGACTCCTTTCATACGTTCAATGCACATCCCATCTGTCATTCTAAACGAGGATTGATCATCTTACCCCATGTCCACTCTCTTGATTATCTTTTTTAGGTGTACAGATTTCATTATGTTTATTATATCTTATAGGTCTATATAAGTGAGTATATACCGTGTTTGTCTTTCTCCTTCTGGGATATTTCACTCAGGATGATCTTTTCTAGGTCCCACCATTTGCCTGCAAATTTCATGATTTCCTCCTTTTTGATTGCTGAGTAGTATTCCATTGTGTAGAAATACCACAATTTCTGTACCCATTCCTCCGTTGATGGACATCTGGGTTGTTTCCAGGTTCTGGCTATTACAAATAAAGCTGCTATAAACATGGTTGAGCAAATATCCCTTTTGTGTACTTGAGCAAACTTTGGGTATATACCTAGCAGTGGTATAGCTGGGTCTTGAGGAAGCACTATTCCTAATTGTCTTAGAAAGCGCCAGATAGATTTCCAGAGTGGTTGTACCAGTTTACATTCCCACCAGCAGTGGAGGAGGGTTCCCCTTTCTCCACAACCTCTCTAGAATGTGTTGTCACTTGAGTTTTTCATCTTGGCCATTCTGATGGGTGTAAGGTGATATCTCAGGGTCGTTTTGATTTGCATTTCCCTGATGGCTAATGAGGATGAGCATTTCTTTAAGTGCTTCTCTGCCATTCGATATTCCTCTGTCGAGAATTCTCTGTTTAGCTCTGTTCCCCATTTTTTAAGTGGATTACTTGGTTTGCTGCTTTTCAGCTTCTTTAGTTCTTTGTGTATACTCGATATTAGTCCTCTGTCAGATAAAGGGTTAGTGAAGATTCTTTCCCCATCTGTAGGCAGGCGTTTTGTTTTGATGACAGTGTCCTTTGCTTTACAGAAGCTGTTCAGTTTCATGAGGTCCCATTTATTGGTTGTTGCTCTTAGAGCCTGTGCTGTTGGTGTTCTGTTCAGGAAGTTGTCTCCTGTGCCAATGAGTTCAAGGGTATTCCCCACTTTTTCTTCTAACCGATTTAGTGTGTCCCTTTTTATGTTGAGGTCTTTGATCCACTTGGACTTTAGTTTTGTGCAGGGTGATAAATAGAGATCTATTTTCATTTTTCTGCATGTGGACATCCAGTTGGACCAGCACCATTTGTTGAAGATGCTGTCTTTTTTTCCATTGAATGGTTTTGGCTAATGTGTACACTGATAGTTGATATGGTTTCGCTATCGCACATGTGCCTGGCGCCATCTACCGGGAGCGAGCCTATTGACAGCTAAAAGGAAAACCATTAAAAACAAAGAAGAAATACTGGCATTATTAAAAGCTCTCTGGGCAGAGTACAGGAAAGCCTATGAAAGAAGGGAGAGATAGTAGGTCCTCCCTAAGAAGCCAGACAATTAAATGGGCTACAGGATTGCCCATGTCCCAATACCTAGATGGATGGTAGA